ATTAATTTTTATTTTTTAATATTAATTAATATAAAAAATATAATAATTACACTTTAACTCATGTCTAACAGAAAATTACCAAAATTCATAGTTTATTTCTGATAAAATTATAAAATCAATTAAATTTAAAAAGTTTTGTTAAGAAGATAAAGGATGAAAGAATAATATGTTTTTTTCAAAAAAAATTTCATAAGCAATAAATATTCTTTATTGTTATTTAATTAAACATTAAAGCGTCATCAATTCAACCAACCCCGTTTCTACAGGATAAGAAACAAGCGCCTTATACTAGGGGTGTTTATATCCGATCCAATCCGATTGATCCGATCTAAACTGATCCAATTCGATTAAAAATCAAATCAAACCGATATAAAATTGAGTTGGTTTGGATTATAAAAATTTAAAACCGATATAATTAGTGTGGTTTGTGATTTTACTTTCAAACTGTCCGAATCACCCGATTATAAAAAAAAAATCCGATTATAAGATAACATAATTAAATAATATAATATTTTTATAATATTTCAAATTTTCTTTTTCTTATTTTACAAGATAATGACTATTGATTTAATTAAAAATAAAAATAGCATATCTTATATTTCTTAATTTATTATTATTATTTTTAATTATATAGCTAAATTTTAATTCTAAATTTTAAATTTCTCTATAATTCTACCTTTATAAATGAGTTGTAACTTTATTCTTAAAACCCTACCTTCTTGAGTGGCGTGCACTTGCCAAGGTTGTCGTCTTTATTTTGCTGGGTTATCGTTTAGGTTGTCGTCTTCATTTTGCTGGGTTTATTTTTAAACACATAATATGGGTGTCGACACCATGGGTTAATAGTTCAGAATCAAACTTTCTATTTCTCATTTTGTGTCGACACGTAATTCAGAGTGTCAGCACTATATGTTCTGCGTGCAACATTCAAGTTTCTTATTCTGTTTCAAATCCTACTTCTATTCCAATTAAGGTTTCTAAAACCTTATAAATACCCATCCAAATTCAGAATTAAA